TGGTCTCACCTTAAACATTAAAAAAAAAAAAAAAAAAAAAAAAAAAAAGACAGAACTGTTTAAAAAAAATATATAATATTATAAGATATTTTAATTGTAAAAATATTAAGACTATATTGGGTATTAATACTTTGTTGGTCTATTACAGTATTAGATTAGAAAGATTAATGCTTATGTATACAAACCTCCTTTAATTCTTGTGATTAGTAAACAAACAAATTAATCAATCAATATAATTAATTAAAATTACTCAAATTTTGTAATTAAATATATATGTTTAATTGTTTTTTTTTATTTAACTTATGATTTGTCTATTTCAAATATACATTCCATCTAGTGTTGACACTTTTACTGTGTCTAGTGGCTAAAGGCACTAGACTGAACCATATTGGACTTATTAAATTACTATATCCAGTAGTCCAGTAGAACAGTGCTAGAATATGCCTAATATAGTCAAGTTGACAACACTTGATTCCATCACTTCTGGAATGCAATATTTGAGTCTTGTTCCATATGCATAAATTGATTAATTAACTTATTCCATGTAATTGGAGTATAAATAACAGAAGTTCCTAAAATTTTTCTCATTAATTCTCTTGCTAACATAATTCTTTCATCACTTGGAAATACAATAAATATTATTGCTAAATTATTACTAATAATTGACAATTTTTTTAATTCTAAAATAAAATTTATAGCTTCTTTGTTATTTTCATGAAGGCCGATAAAGACTATATCATAAGTAAATTGATAATATGATTCTTTATATGATTTTACTGATCTAATACCCTTTTCAAAGGTATCGAATGTATCAACTTTTTCGACCCTTTTAAGATATTTCAATATAGAGTTTCTAACATTTTCGATTGAGTGAATTATTAGTATTCGTTTTTTTCTTAGAGCGTGAGGTAATGTATAGCTTATTTGTTCATTAAATTGAGTATTCGTTGATAAATATGTCATTGGTAATAGTTCAACATTCCATGTAAACGAAAATTTGCTTCCTTTTCCTGATTGACTTTCTATTTTAATTTCACCTCCATTAATTTCTACTAGACTTTTACAAATTGAGAGACCAAGTCCTGCGCCACCTTTCTTCTTAGTTATTGACATATCACCTTGTGAAAAGCTTTCCCAAGCATGTTGTACATATTCTGGATTTATGCTATTATATTAAATAAATTATTTAAGTGATTTATGTGCGAAAATATAATGTTTGCATACATGAGTATCACAAGTAGCTAGTAGCTTACCCAATACCGGTATCACTTAATTCAATTAACAACTTTTCTTTTTTAACCATTTGATTGTAAGTTGAATTCTCTTTGTTTTTTTCTTTGATGGACTCCCGTGGTTGCATTGATATTGTCAGTATTATTTCACCTTTATTTGTAAATTTAATTCTAAATAAAAAAATGAATTATTATAGGTTATATATAACGTAAATTGTTGCTATAGTTCATCACCACTTGATTTTCTAAAAACATAAAAAGTTCAATATTCTAGAAATTC